CCCTAAACCCTAAACCCTCCTCTATATGACTACTTACTTGGGGCTATTTTGGAGTCTTAGGGATCAAAAGTTTTACCATGTCCCGGGTTCCTTTCAGGATACCCTTGGAAGGGCTCTTTCTTCAAAAGATCATGGGAAGTTTCTGTAGAGGTATAAAACATTGGGATTTAGGGATTTAGGGTTTAGGGGGTTTAGTTTACCAGCTTGATCAATTACGTAGTAATGCGATGCCTGAATACGACATAAACAAAAGCCCCATTCAATCAGTAAGCCTTCCGCACATCCTAAAGTCCTCAGATTATGACATGAGCCCAAGGGTTTAGAACAGGGACCTACGTTCACTCAACCGAGAAAAGAGTTAAAAGTTACACGCCAGCGGCCGCAGATAGGTCTTAACCCGCTTTGGCTATCGGGCTCTTCTGGTGTAGGGCTCAAGATAAACCTTAAATCCCTAAACTCCTGAACCCTAAAAGCCAGAACCCACCTAAACCCTAAAACCTGAAACCCGAAACCCAAGGCTTAGAAGTCCAGAGTGTAGGATTCAGGGCTTCAGAGTCTTAGGGTCCAAGGCTTTTGGGGTTAGAGGCTTCTGGGTTGCGGGTTGTCGAGTTTGGTGGAGCATCTTTTAGGGAAGATGGAATAGGGGTTTAGGGAACAGGGTTTAGGGTTTAGGGTATGGGGTTTATAGGGAATATAGGGTTGAGGGTTTAGGGAATAGGGTTCAGGGTTTAGGGAATAGGGTATAGGGCTGAGGGTTGAGGAAGGGGACACACGAGCAAAATCGATGTTCGGCAGAAGAGAAAGTGAATGCTTCGCTTCGACATTCCAAATGCGCGCCCGCGCCCGTGTTTCTGCTACAATACCCGAAAGTAAGCATTAATTCGGCTCCAAACCCTGCTGACCCCAACTCTTAAATCCTAAATGTAGCGACCTTTGATCGGGTAGTCTTCCTGTGTATATATAGAGCATGCGGGCGTGTACTCGTAAGCGAGCTCTATGGAAAGGGGATGCAAGCCGCTATCCGAAGCCCGGAATGCCAAGCCCGAAGCCCCTATCACTCAACTGAAAGTCCTGCCCCGCAGAAGTGTCCGGCTGTTGTAGAGTGGTTGGGGTGCATAGGAGCTATGGTTTAGAGTATCCCATGATAAGGTGCGTTTCTAGCTTAAGTTTCTTTTTTTCCGTTAGCAACTCGTAACGATTCCTAGGGACCGGGACTCTTAGGGCAACGCCCCATGATTTCCAAACGCCCCGAAACCAGAGCCGAAGGTGCGACAGACCCCAGCCCTCGAGCCTTAAACCCAACATCCACGTTCGGTTTAGGGGCTTAGTGTTTAGGGTTTAGGAGCCTTAACCCCAACATCCAAAAACGCTACACTCTAGGCATTAAAATCTGGCAATCCCTGTCCCACGAGGCAGATCCCTCTATGTGTTCTAGAGTTTCTCACAAGGTTTGTTTATGATCGTAGGAACTCATCCAGGGGTTGAGGCCTCGATGAGTACTTTTGGTGCCTTGGTTGGAATATGGTTCCTGCCAGGTTCTGAAGTTGTAGGTATAGAGCCCAAGAATATAGATGCATGATAAGCTCAAAAACCCCAACCCGAACCCCCAAAGCTGAACTTTAACCCTTAAACTCTTCAACCCGGAACCCGAAACCCTTAACCCCACAGCCTCAATCCCAAAATCCAAAACCTCCAAACTAAATCTTACACCCTCAGCTCCCATACACCCCAAACCCCTAAACCCTCAAACCCTAAACCCGTAAACCCCTCAACGCAACGACCTAACCATCACAAGCTTTGCGAGGAGTCGCGCCGTTTGCGATTGGCCCTGTGGCGGCACCTAGATCCGCAGAAGGTGCTCCCCTTCCACCGGTTTAGGGTTTAGGGCTTAGGGTTTAGGGTTAGCAACCGATGTTCATGATACTTGTTATGATACTGATCGGGTAATAATGATACTACTATTTACTACTAGTGGTAAGACTCATCATAAAGAGAATGTGCAGGAACAAATGGTGGTCATAACTTCTGGTCCAGGGTTTTTCATTTCAGGGCTGAGGTTGCTTGGGGTTTCATGTTTAAGGTTCAAGGTTTGAGGCTCTGTTAGATTTTCAGGTTTAGAGATTTGGTGTTTCAGGTTTCCGAGCAAGCATGTGAGTCTTGAGCATTCATGCCTTCTCATACTGGGGATTTCGTGCTATAAGCCCTAGGTTCCGTGGGGGGTAAAGGTCAGCGCTGCTCTCAAGCCGATGATTGTATCGTGTAGATTTCAGAGTATAGGCTTCTTGAGAATCCGAATCGTCAAAATGAAACGGGCTCTATTTCTTATGAGGGTTTAAGGCTTCGGGTTTAGGGGTTCAAAACAGGCTTTAGGATTCAATTAAGGGTTTTCTGCAGGCTTTTTCCATTTGAGAGAGCACCTTACAGGGGTTCAGGGCTAGAGCGTTGGGCCCATCACATCACGTGAAGACCCGCAACAGGGAGCAATTTCACACGGCTTAAAAACTAAACCAGTCACACTTTGCTGGCATCCCAATTTGTGGTGTGTTTCGGCAGTTCGCGTCACAGCTCTCTATGTTGAGGGCTTTGCTAGAAGTGTTGCGGAAGGCCTAAGCCCTACACCATTACTTGCATTATTGCCCCAAGCCCTGTATCGTTATAGCATGTGTTTGGCCTTAAATCTGCTTTGTAGCACCCGTGTAAGCCTG